GCAAACAACAACACATGTACAAGAGTACACAATATTCCCACCCACGGCAATACTGACTTTATCTGAAATATGTAGAAGTTGACGTGATAAACATGATTATAATATCTGGGGCCAGTTCTACGATGCGGCCGGATAGTGATTTTTTCAACTGTTGTGAAATTGCTTGGAGCGCTATAGAACTATGGAAATGAACCTCACAATCAAAAACAAAAACTTTAATTTATACATAAAAAGTTTAATTAAGTTATACCAATCAACGTACAATATTACTCGAAATCACTTTCCGGTGGATAGCATTTTCTGGTGGAATGATTTGTCCGGTGATAAGGCCCATTTCCACAGAAGGAAAAATATGTAAAATGTGATTGGTCGACACAAATTTTCCGCCGGAAAAAAATTTTGAAGTTGGAAATTTTCAACTTTTAACAATGACATTTTCGGAAAATTTCTGTCCGTGGAAAATTTTCTTGAGTGGAAATGGGCCTATAGCCTTGCCCGGTTTTTGGTGTCCGGTCTAAGAGTTATTTCAGCTTGACTCTATCAAATAGGAGAGGTTTTCACCAAGTGCTCTAGTTTCCTCCTGAAATAATTCTGGGCCCATAAGGGGTGGCCCCTAGCAGATATAAACTGATAGAATTATCCACTGTATAAAAAGGTTTGGTTTAGGTATCCTCCTATAGCAATACTTGTCTAATACTTGCCCAGTGATGGTCCTTGCTACATGGACCCCAAAGGAGAACAGTTTAGAACTGCACGAGTTAGAGCTATCCGGTATAAATTTGTGTAGTTCTTTTGATAACAGCATTCACACATAACAATTAGAATTAAAACATCTATACAAAGAAACAGGTTACATTTTCATGATTTGTTTGGATCACATGCAGGGGCTTTTCTATTTAAAAGAAACTTCGTACAATAAATGTGTTAATTCTTGTATTAAAGTAAAATTTCTAGCCATAACATATTGAAGGATTTTCATCGAATCACATTGTCCTTTTGAGAAAAAGACTAGCTTGAACACCACAAACAATACGTTGCGTGATTAACGTTTGAACTGGCAAACAAGCTAGCAGAAATTTAATTAAATGAAACATAAACACACGAAATTAGACAGTCATGAAAAGCAAGCAGGAAAGCTGATAAAGGACAAAACAAATACCCTGGCTCATGACAGGGGGGCCAGATTTATGTACAAAGTTAATTTGAAAACATGCCATGTCATTTGAAAAGCCATGTGTGTTGGAAAAAATATTCCAGTGCGATAATGTTGAACTGTAAAGAAGAGAATATATATTTTGTCTTTATTTCGTAGTTTCATCTTAGTTTGTGCATTTCAATATCTGACTCAAATCAAAGTCTATATATAGGAGAGTTGACAATTATCTAGAGTTGTAAGAATTTTCTAGATTTGATTAGATTTTTAGTAAAGTATTGATGTCTGGAGATATTGGTGGCATAAATATTAAAAGTTAGCACGCTATCTAAGGCAATCGTTAAAGTGCAGTAGACAATCACCTAATATTGGACATTGATGACAAAACATAGATATGTCACACCGAAAAAGATAAAGCATTAGCTTCAATACTCGCTGCATTTCGATCTTCGCCTAGGGTACCTGTGCACACATTGAGTCGTGACGTCACTAGATCAATCAAATCTAAGCTGTTCTCCCTAGAGGTCCAGAAAGAGTCATACCTTACTGATGCAGTGTTTCTGCAGAATCTGCCTCTGAGAGACCCGGCGGTGTTTGTAGAACCAAACCAGAAGCACTCTTTTCGCATGTGACTGGGGGAGGGGGAAGGGGAGGGGGTGAAATGAATTGCGGGAATTCACCCCCAGTCACAGAGGTTAAACGCACATGCACTGTGCCACGAAAATCATCATGAAAATGGCCAACACAAATTCGAGGTTTAAAACCGTATATATTTGGCGCCTGATAATTGTTCTGTATAGACTATAATGTCCGTAATTAGAACAAACGTTCCATTGCGTAATAATACAATGTAGATAATATTTTCTCCCGCGAAGAGACAGTAGGCTACCAGCTGTTCTATTCTGTGAGCCACGTGGTGACTTATTGCATGAGCGATGGACGATAACGACACGTGCCTGTCACACTTGAGACTCAAGCAGACGAAAATGTTGTTAGGATAGTACTGCTGTACTTGTCATGTAAATATCAGTACACGCTAGGATAGACATCCTTCTAGATTGGGGGATAAACATGGAATAAGTCGTTTCAGGGGGGGAGTGTGCTTATCTCGTGTTTACTGCACAAGGAATATCCAGTATATGATGCAGGCAACATCTGCGGTGTTTTGTAGAGTCAAGCTGGAATCAATCTTCAGGGCCGTACACTTCGGGGGCAATTCCTGCACCCCACAACACCCCAAGCCGAAAAATCATTACTTACATTTTATATAATACCTTATGGTCACGTGATATTGAATAGAAAATTTCATTTCCCAAGAGTGCAATGGAATACGTTCCATTGCACTCTTTGCGAGTGCAATTGCACTATACCTTTTATTCCATTGCACTCTTTATGTTTTCGATAAATCGCTTACGTCAAAATGCTTCTCATACGAATCTATTAGTCTATTTTGGTATTATATAAAACAAATAATGAATGTTTATTCGTGCAATGGTAAGAATATTTTCATTCGGTGAAAGATGGAATGTTCCATTCAATTCGGCTGTCGCTTCGTTGAATGGAACATTCCATCTTTCACCGAATGAAAATATACGGATCGAAAGCTTTGCAGTAATAAATTTACGTGGTGTTTCCACAAACAAAACTATTATATGTTTTATCGCCATGCAAACCTACAAAGAACTTATTCTTACCATTGCACAAATAAACATTCATTATTTGCATTACATTACATTATTCAGCTCGCTCCACATTGGGGCTATTTACTTAGCTTAGACTATTTATCTTTACAACATTTTTTATACTACTTTCCTAACTGTGTTTATCCTATAACCCACCCTGCCAACTTTCCTTGTGGGACTAGGAAACCGGAGCACCCGGAGAAAACCCATGACTTTCGGCAGAGCGTTGACGGACTATTTTCACATGTGTCCATAGCGAGAATCAAACCCACGAACTCAGAGCAGTGAGCTCTATATATATATCTGGAGTAAGAACTTCAGTCATTCGGTGAATGAGAAAAGTGAAGCCAAGTGAAGCCAAGATGGCGGCCATTGACGTCCAATAGCTATGAAGGTCGTAAACAGTTTTAATACCATTTTCCCAGCTAGTTCCAGTTTTTTCTAATGGAACGTATCACTAATCAAGTTTTTAGTTCATAAAATCACAATAATATTCTTTAAATCGAAGTCAAAATACGAAATTTCAACACACTCCTTGCCAAGATGGCGGAAATTGAAGGAGCTCTTGGACGTCAGTTCCAGTCCCTTTCTATTGTTTTTGTATGCGCGGTTAACACGAAACTGGCTTCACTTTGAGCAACCAAGTTCCTACTCCAGATATATATGGAGCTCACTGACTCAGAGGCGAAAGACGCTTGGTCTGACGACTGCGCCACCGAAGCTCCTATTTGTAACACCGCGGAAAAACGTCTGCGCATGCGTCAACCTTACCTGTAATAGTATTGCGAACTTGATGAGAAGCTGTTCCGAACGTTTCCGAAGGCTCAAAATGGCGGAGTGACTTCATTGTGCGTCTTTACAGCCAGATTTCGAGCGCAAAAATAAACATGTCATTAAAAAAACTAGGAATAAATACAGCCAGAAGGTTCAAGAAATTGTATTGTACAAGAACATGAACTAAAGGTGATTGTTGACAAATTTATCGTCTGAAACATTTTGTTTATCAACTAAGCAACGACAATTTCCGAATTTTCGTTTGAGATACATTTCTTTACAAAAAACTGTGTCGCCAAATATAAAAAATTTTCGTGTTCACAATAATTAAACTTTAGGATTTATTCTACATTTTGAGTGGGTTAAGAGCTTAACTTTTCGAGAGTTTTCTTAACTTTTTAGTTTGAATTTTTGTTTTGAATAATTTTGCAAAAATTTTCGAAGTCGTGTCCGTTAAAATTCATTTTACATGAATTATATTTCATTCCATACTTAAATGCCAGGACGCTTTCAATAAATGTCTAGTCTATTTATCTTGCTATATTTTCTCGTTTGTTTTACTAATTTTTGACCAATTAATAAGCATGTTTTTGTTTTAGAAATTGATATTCAAATTCCCCGCCATATTTTCATAATTTGGTGCATGCGCAGACGTTTTTCCGCGGTGTTCCTATTTGTGTACTTATTTTAGAATATAAATCTTACTGCCCCCTCCCCTCCTGGTGGAAAAATCCTGCGCACGGCACTAGTCTTCTCACTTATAGTCTTTAAATTCTTTAGTGAGGAATTGATTATACGATTTCCTAGCTAATAAAATAGATTGATTGAATGTGATTTGACGGGACTAATTACTGGGTAAAAATGGTGCTTACACTCGCAATTTTTCGACAGCTGATTGCTCTCAAAGGTCTTTGAAAAGTCTTTGAAAATAGGCAGAAAAATTTTTGAAAGTCTTTGAATTTGTTTGGTCTTGGAGACTACGAACCCTGTCCTATTTGGGTACTTATTTTAACATATAAATCTTACTGCCCCCTCCCCTCCTGGTGGAAAAATCCTGCGTACGGCCCTGACTAGCCTGCGTGGCAGGTTCATTCAATGAACTGCCCTGACTAGCCTGCGTGGCAGGTTTATTCAATGAACGGCCCTGGCTAGCCTGCGTGGCAGATTCATTCAATGAACGGCCCCGACTAGCCTGCGTGGCAGGTTCATTCAATGAACCGGCCACGCAGGCTAGGCCCTGGCCTTCTCACATGCAACTGCATATTGCAAAAACCCAGGTCGTTTAGACAATATGTAGACAAATTATACTTTTTCAATTATCAATACAATGGATAATTCAATGATAATTTATTTTCTCATAAATTAGAAAACAGAAATACAAATTAACAAGAATTCGTGCTAATGTGCTACAATTAATGCGACTATTAAATATCATATTGGTTATATATATGTAAATATGTTCACAATAAAAGAATTCAAAATCAGTTACAAGTTTTGAACACAATAAAGTCAACACTTTGAAGATATATTTCAACAAGTATCTGACTTTTGCCATGTTGGACCTCAAGAATTTACATGCATAATATATTTTTGAATGATGGTTCTTTTCAATGAGATTGAAGGACAATACAGCACTATTGTTAGCAAATTTGTTTGAGTTGGTGCTAATGCATGTCTTTAATTAAATAATTTTTGAACTGCAATCTTCAAAATGAAAATTGTAAACTAAAATTGTAAACTGCTTGCCCTTCAATCCCATATATTTATACAATAAATACTTGAATAACTATTCCATAAGTTACACTCCTTCATCTCAATAATTTATCCTACATTTTTCATGGAATCACAAAGTCTCATTTCCAAGATTTTTTCAGCCAAACATGGGCGTTATGACACGATGTGAACTTCGGAGTCCCCCACGTGTGGGAGGGGGGCTTGTGAAGTCTAAGGCGGCACTATGAAGGCGGATACTTCCCTCTAGTTTACCCCCTCTTGACATTGGGGTGGTTATGGAGCGTGAGGTCACTGGACGGTGGGACAGTCGACTCATAAGGCGTGGTGGCGTAGCTTGACGACAGCAGCTGGTATCTTTAAGCTTAGGTGCGGTACTCAATAGGAATGGTTGCCATGACATTCCTTGGCGCATACGATAGCACAGATCTCGGTCAATTTCCAAACTCGTGGTTTTCACTGCGATATCTTGCTCAAGCGAGAGCTTCTGTTGTTCCAAAGCTTGATAAGCGCGAATTGCATCCTGGAGCCGGCGTTTCAACGAATCAAGAGCAGCCTCGAGTTCACGGACTTCATCAACCAATCGGAACTTAGGAATGTCGCGACATAACTCCATATTTGGTCTGTAGCCACGCTTCTCGAGACGGGTCTGAGCGACCTGCATGTATTTCTCTTTGTCGTAGATGGATTTCTTCAGCATGTCAATGTTTCCTTTCATTTTCGCCATTTCATCCATAACCTAGAGTGATGCAGAAAATATTAGCAAAAAATCACAGAAGCAGAAATTGAGAGGGTGGAGTGTATACAGAGGTCTAGTAAAGGCTGACTCGTCCAAAAAAAAAGCTCAGTCGTTAAAGGCCATGTTACACGGTGCAATTTTTCTTGCAACTTGCAATGCAATTCTGCTCTTCAGAGATGTAAAATTACCAAATACGAGTCTTCATTACACTCCGCTGATGTTTTCTCAACATATCGAAAATTCTTCACAGATTTCACTAATTAACATCTCTCAAGAGTAGAATTGCATTGCAAGTTGCAAGAAAAATTGCATCGTGTAACATGGCCTTAAAACAAATAATAAATTATAGTACATATATAGATCAGTGGACTGAGGAGTGGGATGCATGATGGGAACGTTGATCATTCTCATCATGCGCCATTTTTCCCAATCCTTGTTCAGGGACTGGGTACCACCCTTATTTTTCCAGTGTTACTAGAGCAGGAAAAGTAGACTAAGGTAACTAATTATTGATACTGGGTAGCTGTATCAATATACTGTTCTTCCTAGAGGTCCAGTAATGTTCATCTTGTATTGACCTGGTGTTACTACAAGAGGAAACCTACACTAAAATAACTTTATTTATACTGGATAGCTCTATTTGTTCTGAACTGTTCTTCCTAGAAGTTCAGTAATGTTCATCTCTTATTGATCTGGTGTTATTACGGGAGGAAACCTACACTGAAATAACTTTATTTATACTGGATAGCTCTATCACTTCTAAACTGTTCTCCCTGGAAGTCCAGTAAAGATCTTTTTATTTGTCCAGTGTTACAACAGGAGGAAAGGAGAGAAAACCTGAGGTATTTGGTAGGATCAAACTGAATTCTCTCTTCTCACATGTGTCTGAGATGAAATTATGATCAGACAACTGCATATTGCAAGAATCTAACTCAGTCACAGGTGTGAAAAGCACATGCCCTACTGTACCAGGAAATACGTTAGTTTTTTATCCATACCCTTTTCAAATGATTAGTAAGAGACTTCTTCGCTTCACTTGTCTCCATAACTCTTCTATTCATAGCCAGATTGACAGCATCAAACATTTCTTTCAGTTCATTCATGGTTCTCACCAGTAACTCGTGCACTTTCTTTCGCAGGTTTTCAGACATCTTTCTCTCCCAACGTGCCCGAGTGATGTTATCATAAGAGAAGTTCTCCCATTCTGGCAGAGTCGTGAATCTAGGAGGAAAAGACAATATGGACTTTTAGTAAGTTGAAAACTATTTTCCTTTAATGGCTTGCTTTAATGCCAAGTTGGTTTTCAAAGCTTTTTGACTCCAGTTTCATGCTATATTGAAGGATATCAGACTTTTTTGAAAACCTTGAAACAACTTTACTTTCAGAACATTTATGTGAACTATTAAGGTCAACTTTGGTCACCGAGACTGGCGAAGAAGGGCGTAAAACCCTTCAAACGTAAGTCTCTTATTGTGGCTTCAGTGTCTGTATGTCATATACAGTACACTTGGCTTATACAATAGTATATACGCCAGGTGTACTGTATATGACATACAAATACTGGGGCCACAGAGTCTCTTTCCCAATTTAGACACAGGGTCCTTCAGCCTGTTACTTATAGACTACAGACATTTGGCAGTAGCATGGGGCACGAACACCTCAATACTGTTCTCTCTTTATTACCATGGCAACATTGACGTCAACTTACTTCGGGTCCATCTCAACGGCAAACTTGTGATATCCCAATCCAGACGAGTAATTGTTCAAGCCATGACAATAATTGTCAATTCTCAGAGCTGAATGTTTGTCAAGGCTATCCTTATCCAAACGTTTCTTGACCGACTCTAATCTCCTGTTGGAAAGAAATAGAAATAAGCGCATTAGAGAACAAGAATCTTGCTTGTGTCCAGTATAGACGGTTTGTAAATATTAGCACGGCCTGAAACTCTGAGTCTGTGAATCTAATTGTTTCTACAAACACATTTATTTGAAGTAATTTATTGCAGCTTAATCTCGTCTTCTATTCTATTTTGCTCTTAAATTTCTACTCTCTTCTGTTCAATTTTGTTCTAATCTGCTCTTATTCCATGAGGTAGCTACTCCTTGGCCATTCCTGATTGAGACACTCAGGATATCAAATCCCGACGTATACGACAAGCTTCAAACTTAGATATATAATCGTTGATCGTTGTACGATGCAAGCTGACTCAGCCATGAATAGTATTGCTTGCTCTCCTCAACAGAGGCACCCGTAGCACGGGAGATATGCGAGAGTTGCTATCAGTGTGTTCTGTTCTGTTCTGTTCTGTTCTGTTCTGTTCTGTTCTGTTCTGTTATAGATCTGTTCTGTTCGTTGTTCTGTTATAGATCTGTTCTGTTCGTTTGTATTTTATCCATATGTGTTCAATTCTCTATTTTGTACTACAGAGAGCACCTTGCTATCAATAACTGAACGTGCTTTCAGATAGAACAGCTACAGAACGAGAGATGAGTGAGAATACTTACCTATATTGGTCAATCACTTGATCCAAGGTTCTTTTCAGAGCTGCTTGTGTTGCTTCGATCAATTGAACTTCCTAAAGTAATTGTAAGAAAGATTTCGTTGAGCTCTATTTTGTCTCGATAATCTTACGTAACGTACCAGGGTTTTTCAATCCAGCTGTTCCCATTTGTTTTCTAAAGTTTATCTTTATAGTTTGTACACGAAATGTTTAAGCGCTTGTCTTTTTTCAACAAAACACTCGTCAGTTACACCTGTTAAAGTTCTGACTAGCAAATATCAAAATCTAACTGGTCTTGAGGATAATTGTCACTTTAACTATAAACAATTTCCATCGCATGACGAGCTATTTCATCAAGGAAAACGTAGGGCTTAAGAGACTTAGAAATAAACTTGACAGAAATTAATTTGCAAAGAAGAACATCTTATTGTGTATGCAGTGTAGCTATTTTAATAAAGCATATTCATGTATATTTCAAACGTTCCAGGCTATAGGCAATTCTTTGCGGTTATTATACAACCAGAATAACCTGTCATTGTAGGGTATACATTGTACCGCTAGCCGAACTTTAACCCTCTCTTGTTGCTAAGGCCACGTTGTGTCGTTAGCAACCTTGCTTGACAACCATTTCACGTGCTTGACTTAACACAACAAAAGGTTGATAGATTATGACCCATTTGTTGTACTAGATTAACTACGGCCGGATTATTAATCTCAAACCAATGAGTAAATTAAGTAAGAATGAATTGCCTAATGAATACGCTCAAACATAATAACTTTCGCGCGAGCGCTGTTAAAAGTCGCCAGACTATTATAATGAATATACAATATCTTCAATTTTATGTCTGTCCCGATAAATTGTTTATGATAGACGATAGTTTGCTTAGTATAACAAAAGTACGAACTGTAATAAGTAGAAAAAAATATATAGCATTTTAGGAAAGCTGAAATGGCTATTCAATAACATTGGATGATAAAATGTGTTATATAGAATATAGTATTATACTTTATGAGATATAGTATTATATAAAGTGCATCAGTTTTGTACCCCCCTGTAAACTTATGTTTTATGTAACATGAGCCATTCAAAACTTTATACACTTTAATAGTACTTGTTAACTTGTTGAATGTTATAGTGTACAACTTTGACTATCAAGTTGCCAAGCCGACGGAGATTGGTGGCGAGTTTCTATGACTATGCTTTATATGCCAATGTGAAATTCTTGCGACGAGTTATAACAACTATATTTTGTATAGTCTATAGACTATGGTTTTGAGTGACACATAAGGCTATATATATCCAAACAAAAGTCATTGAGATATTTGCAATATAAACAATATATAAATTTTTCTATCACAGTGGGTAGTTTACCTTAAATAGTTGTTTCTCAACAGTATCTTTGACGAGGTCTATGCCAGCTCTGTTAGTTCTGTAAGCTAGACATTTCTTGGGTACCGTGAGTGGGTGTTGTGTTGCGGCTAAGGCTTTCTCAAGCATTGCCTTACATTGTAGCAATGCTTCCATCTCGGAGATGACACAGGATCGCTCTTTCTCAACCTCTGCCTTCCACGAGGCGACGTCCTTGATTCGGTGTCCAATCTTTTCACGGACATGTTTCTGCATCTTGCTGGCATCGTAGGCGATGCTCTTTGCCAGTTTATCGCTAGCATTTCGAAGAGACTTCCCGTTCTCGACCTCTCGAAACGCGTTCATATAATGCGTCTCGTTTGACGAGTGCCATTCGGCTGGGTTGAACTTGGAAGATACCATATACGTTGTAGTCATCTTGAAGTAAAATCTATCCGAGCAGAAATTATTTTACCTTGCTATATTCTGAAGACTCTCAAAGACTAGATCTATGACTCCTGACTCTGAACTCTGAACTGCCAGCTCTAAGCTACTCTTCTTTATATAACTTCACAGACATACAACACAGTAACCCTAGGTTTCCATAACAACGGCGTCGTCATCTTGTCGCTAGGTGTTTAAAAATTTACCATCGGTTTTTGACCACAATCTTTGTAAGCATGTAGCGAGGGCAAAAGTTGAGAGTGTCATTGGCTGTAATTTTTAAATGTATACGTTTGTGGTTAAATTTCTAAGCACGAAATACTATACTAACCAATGAAATTCTTTACGGTCTGAAGCCTAAATATTTCTACTGAATAATTAATGAGTTGACGAAGAGGACACATGACTGGATTGATCAAAAGATTCCCAAAGAAATATTTTATATAATTTCATAAATCTTTTCTATATATTAATCGTAACAGTTTACGACCGTGCTGTCAGGATATATTTTAGCAAAATTGGAAAATGATTAAGTGCCATGTACATTTTTATCCCCGTTTTACATAAATGTCCACTTATTTGTTTTATGAACATTTTTTGCACATTTAAGTCTCATTATCTCGCGTAATAACTACAGAAGTAATAATTTATTATGACTGAGTAATGTAGCGTGTAGCTTAATTGAATTGGGAAAAGTGTAATAGTTCATCAAAGGTACGAAGACGTCATACCGAAAATGTTTAATTGATTTCGAGTTATTTGCTTTTAAGCTTTTAAAATACCTTACTTCAACATTAGAAGATTAATTTAGGCTATCGCCAACAGAAAATTGCCTCAATTTAGTTTTTGAAAAAACAGTCCGGAAAACACAAATCTTAGACAAATTTCTATGGCAACACTAAGTTGGCATGAAAATTTCGTCAGTAGCAACGAGCACCTGCAGAAGTGCAATTTTAGTTTATGTAAATACGGTCAGGGAAATATGTTGTGTAAATTATTTATTGTGTCGATATATACATCTAAATTGTTTCCTATCATTAGTATTGGAGTACAATGTTATCCGATTTTTTTTTAACTGATGCTTTGCATTGTGGATGAACTAAAAACCATTACAAGGAGTGGTTGTGAACGCGATAAAAAGACAAAAGCGATTTATGTTATACTTTTATTATATACACATTGGGGTTATTTCATAATTTGAGTGTTTGCCTACTATCATTTGCTCACATTAGGGCCATTTATACGTGCGAAAATAAGCCGACGCTCTGCCAATAAGCCGCGAACGAGGCGTATAAACATCTAATTTGTTCTCCAGATGCCGCTAAAATAAGCCCAGGCTTGAAAGTTGGGCCTAAATAAGCCGCAGCTTATTGCAAATTGGCTGTTTGAACGAGTCGTTCGTCACTTATTATGTAGGCCGTTCGTGACTTATTAAGTTTAGGCCGTACGTGAACTATTATAAATGGAAAAAATTGCGTTAATGCTAATGTTTTTCTGTTGGATAACTAGGACCAATTATCTTCTGTATTACCATGCAGATATATATTTTTCTTTCCGATATTATATCTTTGTATTGTTGTACATTATAGTGATATACAGAAATTTGTAGAACGATTGCACGCTACAAAATTTAACCCCCTCAATTGTAATAAATTGATACGATCAATTGAGGGCCACGAAGTCATCAGTGTTAGTTTACTACTGTAAAGTGTTAGCCTCGTTAAATAAAGCCTATAATAATAATAATAAATAATAATAATTATACGAAAACATTTTTTCTTCCGGCACAATCATATATCTGAAAGTTTTCATCGATTCTCATTGTCCTTGTGTTTTCATGCTTTGCAGTTTTTAAGGCGGATCTCCACCGGACGATTTTCGAGACGATCGTCAGAACAGTTCGCGACGACACATGCGCAATTGAAACAAAATGTTCGAAGAGCGATCGTCTGGCGCCGGACGAAAAGTAGGATTGACTTCTACTTTTCGTCGAGCGCCAGACGATCGCCAAATTTTTAACCAACTAGATTGCAGGATTCCTTGTCCAAACATTTCAATAGGGCGACCGTCGAGTTGAGTGAAGTATACCAACATCAACCTTCTTCGTAGAAGTAAATAATTCAAGTAGTGATAATTCATGTCCGCCATTTTTGTTGTTTATCCCGCGCTTTTTTCTTGCTGCTAGTACATCTCCACTTCTTTCTAAATCGTCGCAAATTTTTATGACGCCGATCGTCATAAAAATCGTCTCAAAAATCATCTACTCTCAGATCTGTTTAGGCCTCACATTGGCTTCATCTACACTTCGTCCAGTAGTATTTTATAGTTCAGTGTAGCCACGTGTGTCTGCTACGAAATCCATACTCAGTACTCAGTCCATCGATAATTGTCGCGTTTTGTTCGTTCCCAGTCCCTAAACCCAGGCTCGCGGTCAGGTCTTGCAACAATTTAGTCTGAGACTGTGCCAGCTTCTTTAGTTGCTTGATGGCACGTTGCTGTTCATTGAGCCTTGCTTCGATACGAGAGATCTTCTGAGAATCTTCAAACTTCGCTTTCTGGAAGCGATTCTTGAGCACCTCTTGAACTGCTTGTTGTGATTCACAGCTTGGATCTCCTGTGATCTCCCAGAGCAACCGTTTGAAAATTTTAACTTTCCTGGAAGCAAAGAATAAACCATTTTACATTCATACATTGTAATGTGACGATTAGGGGGGGGGGGGACTAGTTTGAGCTTCGAGAACATTCAGGTACCTAACCACAGAATAAAGACATACAGAAGTGTAACTTCCATTACAAAACCGTAAGGCGCTTTTTTACCGAAATAGCTGGCGGCCATGTTCTTAGTGAGTGCTCTAAAGAGAGGCATTCACCCCCCTGGAATATTAAATTTTCAATATGTTTTCAGGGGGGTGACTGCCTTTCTTTAGGGCACTTGCTAAGAACATGGCGGACTGAAAAAATCCCTTACGCACTTTTGATAAGAAGATACACTTCTGTTATGTCTTTATTCAGGTACCTAACATTTCCTAAGACACGTCGCCAATTCTATAGTTTCGCAAAGTTTTTTGTCACTTATAAATTGGTGGCCGGACCGGGAAACTTGTACACGGAAGGGGTTATTCGTGTCCCGGTATCATAGCTCAGAAACCAGGTGTATTTTTAAGAAAGTAAAAGATTCTGAATCTCTCCTCCTTTCAGTAATTCCGAGCGTCCGATGGACCGATCGTCAGTCCGGCCCAGGCGCCGAGGTGAAAGAGACATGGACTAACTAGCATGCCAATTGCCATCATAATGATCGTCAGAAACCAGCATCTTACTATCTTACCGTGGTATAGGTGTGTTAGGTTTCTCTACCAGGCGTGGCTGGTACAGTCGTTTCTGGATAAACATTGGTAACTTTTCTTCAATCTCTGTTACGTAATCTACCAACATTGCCATCAAACTCATATTGGCATTGCTCTGTACTCCGTCAATATCTCCCACTGCTAGACCGATCTAGGAGAGCGAACGAGACGGTCAGGTTTAGTTTACTGGGGTGCGGAAACATGGGTGGGTTGCTACTGAAGGTTGAGGGTTGGGTATTGTTGCTTGATAGGTGAACCCTCCTCTGACCTGATATTTGATGGGTGAACCCTGCATGCTTTGACCTGTTGTGCTTGAAAATTTGTGTAAGTAGAGTTGTGCTTGGTTCTCTCCTGTACTTTGAGGATGGATTTCCCCCTCACCATAAACTAATTCTTCTACCTATGCTGTGCTCCTTTGTTAGACACTGGTTATTTTGTGACAGTCAGATGTACCCTAGCAACCCTTCAGCTCCAAGCTGCAAAGAATGATGACTAGCCTTCTCTTTACCTTTAGGAATGAGGGCATTTCATCAATCTAGTTTTATCAAAAGGGTGCATATACTAATGTATACACAACTAAAACACTTACCAAGAGATTAGCCAACAGTATTGCCATGGTAACTACGAAGATGGCGAATATCACGAAACTCAATACAGGAAATGGTAGTAAGCTAGTGCCAGATGTATCAATTAAGGTTTCTCTATATCCAATCTCACCAATCATCATCACTGTACTCGTCATTAGAGATATACCAACGTTAGAAAATGTGTCCTAGAAGAGAGTAATGTATATTGTAAGCCATGAAGTGAGGTGTTGTATCCACATATACAAAATTCTCCTGATCTGCCTAAACTTTCCCCCCGATTTTCTTGGATGAAATCGCTCGTTTTTGAATAATTTCTTGCAACACAACTGTTGAAATCCTTATGTTTCACAAGTTATATATATCTGACACAACACGGCCTCTTTTGCTGTATTCATAAGTTTCAATCTATAAGTCTCCGGATCTACTTAATCTGCTGATAGAAAGCTTTGCGAGATCGAAAATCTAACATGTCTTTTCGGAGTGTTTCGGCACAGTATTTGGTGCATGTGTCATTCATCCTTACGACTTTCGTTCAATTGCTGCAATTTTGTTATAATTTACTGGACGTGTAGGGAAAATAGTTTAGAAGTGATAGAGTGATAGATATCTCTATATAGTAATATAGATTTAGTTTATTTGATAGTTTAGTGGTATAAAAAGCAAGGTCGGTGGTTAAACAATACCTACCTGTTTTGGAAAGATGATGTAAAACACGCTCGCGTACCCCAACAGAAACAACAATATGACAGAAAAAATACGAGTAAACGTCTTCAATATCTCAAAGAACATCGTAATGTACAGCCCCAGAGTTGGAAACATATAACTCCGTAGATACAGTACAAAATCAAGCCATCCAAAAAATACTGCCACAATTCCAAAAGCCCAGTTCTGACCACTTATAATGAAGTCAGGAATTTCATTATCAGTATGGAGGTGAATGTAGATGTACGGTGATAGGAATATCATGCTCAGAAAGTAATACGCGATTTCTACCATGTTCTCGTAGTTTGTGAAATATCTAAAGAATAAAAGCAAGTGCCGTATATAAGTAGGCAGGGTATTAGGAAGTTTTAAGGGTAATTCTAACGATATTTAAGTAATTTACACAATCAGAGAATTCATGGGGTAAAATTCCTGAAGTTCACTATTTGCAGTTGACTATTTGCATTAATTTTCTGTGCCAGTGTAGTAGTGCCATTAGAGACCTTACGATTTTAGGACGGCAACGCGACGGCAACGGCTACCAATACAATAGATAATTGAAAAGAATTGAGTAATTACAATATATGAATAATTTATACATTGTCCTCGCTCTGTTTACAACGCCGAATCACAGATTTTCACGTCTTGATCACAGAATAAAGACATACAGAAGTGTAACTTCCATTACAAAACCGTAAGGCGCTTTTTTACCGAAATAGCTGGCGGCCATGTTCTTAGCAAGTGCCCTAAAGAGAGGCATTCACCCCCCTGGAATATTAAATTTTCAATATGTTTTCAGGGGGGTGACTGCCTCTCTTTAGGGCGCTTGCTAAGAACATAGCGGACTGAAAAAATCCCTTACGCGAAATTAACCTGAAGTGAGATCTCTGTATGTACTTCCTCTGTGTCTTGATACAACGGCTGCATTCCAAGCCGCAACAAGTGCAACTTCAAACTGGGTTTAGCAGAACTCTTCCCAACCATAAAACCCATGTCTTCAACTTCTAAAACTGTATTAAATTCATACGATTGATAATATACGACGAACTATCTTTACTACCATTTATTTGAAGGCGTTTGTTTTGGCCGTCGCGTTGCCGTCCTAAAATCGTAAGGTCTCTAATATTAAATTAGTAGCCAACGAAGCCTTTTTCAGGTAGTTGCATCTCTATCAATCTGAAGTTTATTAGCATTAACCCCAGCATGCTCGACCTTTATATAGCCTATCGTACCTTAGCCCGCGCAGGAACATTTGAAAAATCTCCTTAACGATGGACAGTATAGCCAATAGGAACAGGAAGGTTATTAAAGCAACATTCCGATCTTCATGCGAGGCCACATCTTCGGTATACCTCGTGGCATTGTCGTGAAACGTCGCGTATTGTCGTTCGGTTATTGTGACCCAACACAAACAGAAATGAAATGCTATAAAAGTCAGCAAACCAACGATGTAGATATTCCGACCAAATTTACTCCATTTGTGCGACAACATTTTCCTGACTAGCGGATGAGAAAGAATTTTCTCCTGGCGGTCTTTGACTAGTGATTTCAATGTGGTGAATCTTGGCTGTCCAGTGCGTGGGCCTGGGTCTAGGATGTGGAAATCGTAACTGATTTGAAATTCTGAGTCACTGTGACTGTGTTCTGAGCATGTGATGCCTCGGTCTAACAGAGCGATAGCGACGTTAGGATGGGCGTGCAGGATTTTTGAGATTGTTTCGGTTCTTTTGGAGAAGTCTAGGTTCTTTACCATGCTAGGTTTAGGAGATTAAAGGATTTTAGAATAAATTGCGGTTAGTTTTGGTCATCATATTTGACTGCTGATGGTGCTTATCGTGGTAATGATTATCATGGTTATGTTGATAATGATGATGTTGATAATGTTGATAATGGTGATGTTGATAATGGTGATAATGGTGATGTTGATAATGGTGATGTTGATAATGGTGATGTTGATAATGGTGATGTTGATAATGGTGATGTTGATAATGGTGATATTGATAATGGTGATGTTGATAATTAATGGTGGTGTTGATAATGGTGGTGTTGATAATGGTGATGTTGATAATGGTGATATTGATAATGGTGATGTTGATAATTAATGGTGGTGTTGATAATGGTGATATTGATAATGGTGATATTGATAATTAATGGTGATGTTGATAATGGTGATGTTGATAATGTTGATAATGGTGATGTTGATAATGGTGATGTTGATAATGGTGATGTTGATAATGGTGATGTTGATAATGTTGATAATGGTGATGTTGATAATGGTGATGTTGATAATGGTGATGTTGATAATGGTGATGCTGATAATGGTGATGCTGATAATGGTGATATTGATAATGGTGATATTGATAATGGTGATGTTGATAATGGTGACGTTGATGATGGTGATGCCTTTAATGATTGTAACCAGGAAGGATGGTGATAATTGTGTCATCTAACCTGTGATGGTTCATGATGGCGTCCAGTACCTCATCATGCGCACTATCAATCGCTAGATCTAAAAACGTTTTATCTCTCTTATTTTTTAGTTCTGTGTTGGCTTTCTTATCCAATAACAACACCACAATATCTGCATTATCCCCTTTTGCAGCCTCGTGTAGCGACGTTTCCCTATCTCCGTTGACCGTGTC